CTGGCCATCCCCATCATTGCTCTGCCCTGCCCCGCCAGACGGCGCGGCCGCTGGCGCGCTATCCTTGCCTCCACCCGGCGGCCCCGCCTGGGTGAAAGGATGATAGTTAATAAGGGTCATGTCATCAACGGCGCCTTGCAACTCGGTATTGAATGGTACCTTGTTCCCGGAGATGCCTGGCTTGGCCGGACCTTCGGTGGCAGGGCCAGGGACAGTGAAATGGGGTTGCAAAGCTGGCCTGACGGGCGTTTCCTGTGAAAGCTGAGGGATATCGAACTGATGAAACTTGGGCATTTTATCCAACGCCTTCTCGATAAATTGGAAGGATTACATACCCATAGTCCTTGTCATCTCTTTCGCCCTTTCTTCCAAGGCCGCCTCGCGGTCAGCAGCTTGCGATCCAGACCGCATGTGCTGGTCTTTCTCTTTCAAGGATTCAGCGATGGCAGCCTTGAGCTCCATCGCCTCTTTCTCTGATGCAGCTGCGCGGGCCAACGCTTCTTCTTTTTCACGAAGGTTGGCGGCTGACTTTTCCGAGCTTAATCGAAGCTGTTCCTCAGCTTGCTCCTTCATCCTCTGCATGTTACACTTGTCAGCGTAAATATCATCAAAGAGTTTCTGCTGTTGGGCCAGGAGGTTGGGGTTATCGCTATCTCGCTTCCATTGGTCGCCCCACTCCGCCTGTTCCACAGGCAAACTCTTTCGTTGGGCACACGCGACGCAACGCTTGGTGCTCATATCAAAATGGTTTTTACAACTTGGCGATCCGCAAGTGGCGCATAAACCGACCTTCGGGTTTGAACATACTGAACAACTTTCGTCAGTGCCCCCTCTCGCGGGCTGCGGCTGCTGGGCAGATTTCACCCGCAGCAACGGCGGCATCCCGCCCTCTGGAGGCGCCGAGCTAGGCTGGGCCTGTGACGACGTAGCACCAGACGGCTGGGCCGCCGGTGACGGTCGTCTGCTCGTCCCTGCCGGCTTGGCCGGTGGGCAAGCTCCGTCGCCTATCTGTAGTTGGCGAAGCGATCCCCTAGCGTGTTCATGCTTCGTAAGCTCATCTCGCCATTGTTTATTATGGTCAACTATCTGCGCAGCTATGATCTGTGCGTTGGCCGCTTCCAGCTTAGCAGCGCAAAGTTGATATTGGAGCTCCTTTATTTCATGCTCTGCGTTGGCTATTGCGGCCTTCTCCCCTTCTAGCCTCGCCACCGCAACAGCGGCGCAGGCGGACTTGGCGTCTACAGATTGACTGCGCACCGCCAGGGCAGCCTGTCGTTCAGAAGATAATGTCTCAACAATCTTGTCATCGGCTTCTTCCGCGCGCTGCTGGGCAGCCGCGGTCTGAGAGGACATTTGCGCTATCAACTCTCGTTCTCGCCGACTGGCAGCTTGGGCCAGGGCGAGCCTGTCAACCTCGAACTTCTTCTGAGCGTCGGCAATAACTGCATTCATCTCTTCTCGATCCAGCCGGGCCTGTTCGGCCCTCTGGGCTTCTAAGGCTATGATTTATCGCTGTCTCTGGGCCTCTATGATTCTGGCCTGGTCCTGCATGGCGTGGATCAAAAGGCATTGGCAGTGATGTTCTTCCATCTGGATGCAGTCCTCGCACAACCATTGAATGCAGCAGTTGGGGCACACGCTGGAACAATACCCACCCGCTGGGCGCCTACAAGGCCCCCCCCCTTTTGTGGGCTTTCCCCGGGCACCTGTTCTCCGCCTGGGGCGGGCAATCAGGGCCCTGGTTCCAGCACGCCTCGCGCCTGGAAATGGCACTGTTGCTCCTCGAAGTCGATCGTGCACCAGATCGTGGGATCTTGGGCCGCCCCCTGCTCGAAGCAGACGATCGAGGGCGAATGCGTGTGCTCTCTGGTGGCTTGGCCACCTCGCGAAGCGCCTCATGCCGTTCATCCTGTGCAATCAACACCGGGAGTGTGACTGGCGGTCAAACGGATCGTCATCCTCAGCTACCGCGGGGACCGACGGCTGCCAATCGCCTGGGGCGACGGCAGTCCGATGGGACCCCTCCTGAAGCGGGGAAGCAGTCAAATCGTAATCTTGATTCCTGTGCTTCTTGTACTGAGGAGCTGGCGTTCGGCCCGTGGACTCCCGGCCATGCTCGGCACGAAGTTGGGAACTCAATGCAACCTCTGCCGCCTGGGGCGGGACCTCAGCGATTGGGAGAACGCGGGCTCGCGTGCCGCTGGGACCTCGCGGACTAGGTCACTGATCGTGGTGTGTAGATCAGGTTCCGCAAATGCCTTCCCAAGAGCGTCCAAGCGATCGTAGTCAATGGTCTCCTGTCCTGGGAATGACCTTCCGTCTGGGACGGGGCAGTCGGCAGCGTTCGACAGCGGCAGAGTTTGGCTTGGGGGCATTTCGTACTCGGCATACTCCATGTCAGCTTTCATGGAGTTGACGTCGTCGTCGTCATCAAGCTGTTCGCCGCTGTCTTGACCGGGTTGCCCGTTCAAGGCGATCGGGGCGGGGTGAGTTCCAGGCGGGCGACCCCAACCGTCTGGGGCGGCGGGGGGCATGCCGCTGGACTCGTCCACGACTCGCGGCCTACTGGCTGGGCCAGCGGCCAGCTCGATAGAACGCGCGGCAATCGGGCTGGAATGTGCTGTTTCTGAGGACTCAGCAATCCAAAATGAGAAGGCTCTTCGCCTGGCGTTCACGGCTGGGCCGTTCCGCCTCATCGGGGCCGGGGTCTGTGCACGATCTCTGGTCGGAACGCGAGTGGGGGAATCACCTGCAAATAAATCAACGACTTCTCCAACGACCCCTCTATGAGGAACCCGAATGAGATTAGAAGAGGGAAGAGAGCAGCCCTCCCCTGGGCCGCTGCCCTGCTGTTCTTGCCCGTCTCGATGCGCATCGTGTAATCTCGCGGGCAATTCGGCCGTCTCATCATAGCTCATTCCCATGGCGACTTGGTTGCGGGTTTCGGCTGATAACCAGTCTTTCCTCTGAGAATCGGGGTAATATGCCAAAGGAATTAAGGTCTCATGATCAATGCGCTCAGTGGTAGAGGGTTTGGGACGAGACATCGATGAAACAATGTGTTATCCGTTAAGCAAACGCACCCAAGTATGGGAAGGAAGGAGGCCCGGCCGGCCGACGACCGACGACGTGCGCAAGCCGCGGGCTGGCGCGCTCCATTTCTCACTTGAGTAGCAAACAGCTGCAGAACAGTGCTGCAGTAATGTCAAAGCATGGCAAGGCAGGCGGCAGGAGAGGTAACTATAAGATGAGGCGGAGAGGAGCATATTTACTATTGGCGCCTGCACCTCGCCCTCGATAGCAAGGCAGTTTGTTCCCCGGCATTGCAGCTGGCATTGTCTTTTTCGCTGGCGCCGGACTGTCCGGCAATTGCGGCCCAATGTCTGGCGATATTTCGATCGCCTTCTTGGCGAACGAATTCGCTCCTTCGACCTCCTGCGCGTCGGCCGCCAAACACTTAGAGGATTCGAGACAGGTCTGGATTGACGGCGCCGCGCTCATCAACGACTGAACGGAGTTCCGCCTCAAATGCCAAGCAGTTTTATATGGCGCGCCAAGTTGTTGCCCCCCACTTGCCATGCGCAGGTGGCCCGGCAGTTGCGGGGCCGCCCAAATCCGCCGCGGGCAACAAGCCGATGGGGCCCAAGAAACATAACCAACGAACATCTAGATTCCAGTATATCCCAGTTACGCACGGGCTCAACGATTCGCATGTAAAAGTCGAAGGATATCTCGAGCAGGTGCAACGTGCGCACGTTGTGGAGAGCATTAATAGCAGTGCTTCAATCTGTGCGTGTCCATACTTGCCCCCACTTCCAACTGTCATTGCATACGTCCTCCTCGAGCATCTTGTCTAACTCCTTCATGAACTCATCCCCCGCGCCGTAGACCACCCCCTGCACTGCCGACCGTTTCTTCTCGAGTGACTCGGCGGACATATCTGGCAACGCAGTGGCCAGCTCGCGCTGCTGCTCACTGCTGTCGCCAGCTCTGTTTTGAAAACCAACGCACCATGCCATGGGTCGGCCCCCTGATCACAAGCGTCGCGGCCATCGGCGCCCAATGGTCGAGATCGTTCACAGCTTCCAACGCGCCCTCGCCGTTCGCATCTTCAGTCAGACTAGGGCCAACTCGGAGAGGAGCAGCGGTGCCTTTGGGGTCGAACACTTTGTTGAAGACAATGGATGTTTCTCATTGGGTAGCTCGCAGAAAGGAAGCGCCCACCACGCGGATCGATCCGAACCTGCCCCTGAGGGCTCGAGGAGGAAGGCGATGCGCAACCTGCTTCAGTCGATCAAATCCGGATTCCCCCCCCAGCACTGGCGAATTTTCACCGAGTTGGATGGCGCGCGCCATGCGCTGGACTTCTTTGCCTCGTTCGGAAGAATGCCTACTCTTGTCGATTGTCGTTTCCCGATGGGGTGAAGTTGGCGCTGCGAAGCACCGGATTCAAGCCACCGGCGCAAGCAATTTGTAGGCGAACAACTTCGTTCTGCCTTCTGCCTCCAACATTATCCGGGCCCTTTTCTGTGCAAAAAAACAAGATGGATGCATGCAAGAACTTCGCGTCCCTTATGTCCGCGCAAGCCAGCCCTTGCTAGTGATGTTGGTATTCCCACGCGTTCATTATGTTCGCTGCCGAAGAAGCCATGGGTCCATATGCAAGACCGGGGTGGCTCTTGGGCGCGGCAGCGTGATCAACGGCGCCCCCGCTGTCTGGATCAATCTCAATATCGTTCGGAAGTGGGGGCGCGCGCAAACTGCTAGAGACATCTGCACCGAACGGCTTGTAGGACTTCCACGCAGAACCGTTCGTTGCTTCGGAACGCCAGCAACTCCCTCCTTTCACGGGCTTCGGCCCCGGGATCGGGTAGCCAAGTGGGAAAGTGATGCGAGTCGTAGGCCGCGCGACCGTGCCCGTTCCATTCATTTCCCCTCTCCCTCCGCCCCATCCGCCTACCGCCCGCCCCATCCCTCGCCACCCAGACCCATTGATCAGATGGGTGAAACCCCAGCTCGAAAACCGAGCGTTCCGGGCGTCATCGAATCGAGTCTCGGAGAAGAGGGGCGGCAAGGCCGCTGAGCGCCAAGCACCGCTTCGCAGCGCGTGGCCCTCGAAAGTGATCAAGCGCTTGCCGGCGCACGCAACCCAGTCCTGGGGCGACGTCGGCCGCGCGACGAAATAATAATTGCGAAATCGTGAAACTGGGGAAACAAGAAGGCGCCCATGCCGCTTCTCTCCAGATCCGTCTGCGGGCGCGCTCTGACCAGGATCCCAAGGCGAAGCCAGCTGCGGCGACAGGCGGCATCCCTAAGAAACGACGTTAGAGAAGCAAAGGAGGTAGGGGGAACAGACGTGAAAGAGTAGAAGCTAAACAATGAAATTCGGGATCTCCTCGAACTCCTGCCATGTTCGCACATTCTTGGAAACGTCGAAGAAACTGGTAACAGCCGCGGTAAAACATGCAAATTCTTGTGAACGTGGCGGCGCGATACAAGTTCTCGCACTTGACGACTTGGCTTCGCCCGACGTCGACGTCGAACATGCGGGCTGCGGCCTCGGCACTGGCGCGCCCGATGCTGCGCTTGATACCGAGGCGACACATGCCAGGAATCTCCATATGGTGGCCATCTGGAAGTTTCGAATCCTTACTTATTAACGTATTTGTTATTTTGCATATCCCGCCACATGCCAGACACTCCGCGTTTTAATATTTCAGTGCCAACACTTGTTCTTCACACTCTCTCCTCGCCTTGTCCCTCTCTTCTGTCAACCTCGATACATCTTTGGTGTAATGCCACAATGAATTTACGAACGCATCATGGGGATGAGACGGCAAGCTGCTGCAACGAGTGAGTCCCCAGCGTCGTGAACAAAAGGAACCGCCATGGACGAGGCTGCCGGCGATGTGAATGCAGACGCGGCTTGCCGATCAATTCCATGAGCTGAAGTGGGAATGACAATGCCCAGGGGAGATAATACATGCAACGCGGCATCGACAGTGTACAGCGGTGCACCGAAGGAATCGGTCTTGAACTTCGCCGTCGCCTCTGCGACGCGACCGCCGACAGCGGTGACAGCATACTTGACAACGGCCTCCAGTTGGGAGCGTGATCCCAGGCACACAAGCATGCCACCCGCACCACCGTCAAATCGGTATACATGGATGGCGAGTGCCGTGGGAAACACCTTCACTGACGCCTTTGCCATTCAGCCAAAACGGCTGCAATGTTCAGCAACATTGTGCAACGCAGTGCAACGATGGGACACTACGCAAACCCATTGTGCAATGCAACGCAAGGCGACGGAACCGACACCATTGATGCACAGAGCACACGCAACGCAACGCTGTAATGCAATGCGGATAACAGCGTTATTTCTTCATTTCTCTCGTCATCACCTCATTATGTCCTCCGCCCCGTGCCCCGTGCCATTCCTCATCATATGCTTCCTCAGTTTCTTCTTGTTTTGCTCCACCTCGTAACAGATATGTTGGCAACTTACTGTCAGACTTGATTCAAACATCTGACCGGATGTGCGAATCCAAAATAATTACTTCACCATGAGAAATGCACACAATATTTCCCCCAGGGCGCTTGTTTTTGTCAAGCATACTTGTTTTGTTTCTGTAGTGGCGTATTGGATTTGTCCCTAATCCTTGGCACGATTGAGTGTCAAATCGAACATGAAATTTGCTAGTTCTGGCAATTCGTAGGACGCTCTCCCGAAATCGAATGAAAACGCGTTGTGTTTGGTTGATTCTCTGGTAATGGACGACTGGAATCGCAACCGATCCTGACCCCGCAGGCCGACCCCACAGGCCGACCCCACCAGCCAGGATCGACGCGTTTCCAGAGCCCCAGCTACGCAGCTACGTCCTCAGCCCAGGCCTACACCCAGCATGCCTGGGACCAGCACGGCGAAGTCGACGATGGGGTGCGGCTTCCAGTCCAGCCTCCTCCCCTCCTGCTCCTCCTGCTCCTCCTCCTACCTTTCCTCCTCCTCCTCCTCCTCGGCCGCATCCTCCCTCCCAGGCCGCGCCTGTGGCGGCGAGGCCTCCATGGGTACGACGGCCTCCAGGGCAGCGAACGCAACGCCGCCTCGGCCGGTGCAATCCGACGCGCAGCTGCGCTCTGTCTTGTGTTTACGTTCGGCGGCGAGCGAGCTGGGGCGTGAGAAGGGGAAGGCCCTCTCAGCATGCGGCGGGGCTTCTCAAAAGGCTTCGGGCCTTCTGATAGGTTTTCTGTGCAGGGAAAGCTTGGGAAACTTCTCAGTCGGTCTGGGGGCTTCCGAAGCTTTTGAGAAGGTCCACCCCTTCTCACTTCGCCCTTGGGCTCGCCGCCGATTCTGTAGTGACCGATTTTAACTTGGACGGTCGAGTGTGCATGGCACGCGCAAATAAAAACTCTCTGAACTTTCTTGTCGCAGAGATGTGGGCCACACCGCGCGAACAAAACGAACCACGGAACACCGCGTCACACAGGCTTCGTGCGGATACCGGAACGAATCCGGGACCCATGCGCAAACGAACACGCGGTCGCGACCTATGTGCACGGCAACTGCTCTGATCAACATGCTGATCATCCGTGCGAGAGCACCAGGAAGACAAATTAGCCTGGCGAAGGACCCAACCATCTCCAGTTGTGAATGCATCGTTGTTAGTATCGCCTTCGGTGGGTCTCCTCATGGGGCCACGGAGCGCGTGAAGAGAGTGTGTGTGTGTGTGCCGAGATTGGGCGGGGCCGCCATGCGGGCGCTGCTTCTGGGCCCCGATGTAGAGCCCACTTTATGGGGCCACAAAACGTGTGAGGAGTGTGCCAAAATTGGGCGGCACCGCCATGCGGATTGTACCACTAGCACCTTAGGTGGAGCTCCATATGGTGCCACGAAACCTGTGAGGGGTGTGCTAAGATGGTGCGGCGCCGCCATGCGGACTGCGCCACTGGGACCTTAGGTGGAGTTCCCTATGGGGCCACGAAACGTGTGAGGGGTGTGCCAAAATGGGGCGGCGCCGCCATGCGGACTGCGCCACTGGGACCCTAGGTGGAGCTCCCAATGGGGCCACGAAACGAGTGGGAGGTGTCCCAAAATGGGGCGGCGCCGCCATGCGGACTGCGCTACTGGGACCTACCTCAAGTGGAGCTCCCCATGGAGCCACGAAACCTGCGAGTGTGTGCCAAAATGGGCGGCGCATCCATGCGGACTGCGCTACTGGCACATTGGGAGGAGCTCCATATGGTGCCACGAAACATGTGAGGGGTGTGCCAAAATGGGGCGGCGCCGCCATGCGGACTGCGCCACTGGGACCTCAGGTGGAGCTCCCTATGGTGCCACGAAGCGTGTGAGAGGTGTGCCAACATGGGGCGGCGCCGCCATGCGGACTGCGCCACTTGGACCTACCTTAGGTGAAGCTCCATATGGTGCCACGAAACGTGTGAGGGGTGTGCCAAAATAAGGCGGCGCCGCCATGCGGACTGCGCCACTGGGACCTTAGGTGGAGCTCCCTATAGGGCCACGAAACCTGCGAGGGTGTGCCAAGATGGTGCGGCGCCGCCATGCGGACTGCGCCACTGGGACCTTCGGTGGAGCTCCCTATGGGGCCACGAAACGTGTGCGGGGTGTGACGATGACGATGACGATGATGATGGCGATGACGATGACGATGGTGATGATGATGATGCAGAAGAAGATGAAGATGAAGATGCAGATGAAGATGAAGATGCATATGATGTTGATGCTGCTGCTGATGATGATGATGCTGATGATGCTGATGATGTTGCTAATGATGATTATGATGACGATGATGGAGGAGGAGGGAGGAGCGGGAGGAGCGGGAGGAAGAGAAGAGAGGAGAAGAACGCGGGGACCATCTCTTCAAACGAGGACCCAACACCGCAGAACGGTTGGGAATTATCCCGGCGAAACGGCCCAATCGTATACAGCTGCGAGTACCACATGGCAGTCGGTAACAATGATAGGGGCGAGCAAACCACGAGTGGAATTGGATACGGCCCTTTCCGTCTAGGCAGCGCACCACAACATGGATGCTAGTCGAGCCTCGCGAGCCCTGCCACTGGGGCCTTCGGTGGAGCTCCATGGGGCCACGTAACGTGTGAAGATTCGTGCCGACAGGGGTTCGGGCACGCATGCGGGCCCTGCCACTGGAGCCATCGGTGGAGCTCCATTTGAGGCCACGGACCGTGTGAGGGGTGTCCCGAAGGGAGGGGGGACCCCCCATGTGGTCGCGCACGCTGAGACCGCAGGTGGAACTCCCTATGGGGCCACGAAACATGTTGCCACCTGGGCCTCCGGTAGATCTGCCTGAGGGCCACGAAGCGCGTGAAAGGTGTGCCAGCATGGGCCCGAGTCCGCATGCGGGCGCTGCCACTGGGGCCATTCAGTAGAGCTCCCTATGGGGCCACCCGTCGTGCGAGGGGGGGGGGCAGACATGAACTCGAGTCCGCATGCGGGCGCTGCCTCTGGCCAGCAGCGGACCAACGCGCTCCCTGCTACCCTCCATGACGTCCACTACGACACTGCCCCCATTTTCGAGCGTCTCCGTCGCGCCCGGGCCGCATGGCACGAGGCAACGGCCTCTGCCTATGCCCCAGCGGCTGCCCTGCCCCCCGCGGTGCACGCTGCCCTGGCAGCTCTGCAGGCCCTCTGCACTCCCTCCAAGCAGCTCTCAGCGCTGCCTTCCAAGTCCCACGTTCTAGCCTAGCACGCCAGCAATGGATTAGTGCTTGAGCAGTGGCGGGGGTTGCCCCCCAGCAGCTCGTTCCCACCGCGGGGCAGGCGGCATGCCACTACCGCCTATCGCCCCCCGGGCCTTTACACTCCCGACCACAGATCCGCAGTCATACTCGGGTCGCTGGCGGGTCACGCCTACACAGTCATGTCAGCAAATGCGCTGGGGGGGGGGGACAAGATTTCTGTTAGGGCCAGCCCCGTTTTGTTGTGCTACCCTCCAACCCCACGAGGGGACGGCGCGAGCCGCTTGCCAGCGGGTCGTACGGACTCCGCCCGCATCGGTGCGTCTCTCTCTCTCTCTCTCTTGCTTTTTTTTGTTCTCTCTCTCTCTCTCTCTCTCTCCCTCTCGTTTTTTTTATGTTTTCTCTCTCTCTCTCTCTCTCTATTTCTCTCTCTCTCTCTCTCTCGTTCTCTCTCTCCCCCCCAATCCCTCATGCCTCCTTGACCCACTGTGGCATAACATCGTTTCGGCTACCAGGCAGCTCCCGCGCAGCCACGTTGCTAGCGATGGACAATTCAATTACGGTTTTGCAATATTGTGACAGCGTCGTCGGCACCTCACCTAGCACCTCCTTTTGCAATTATCACATCTTCTTGCGATAGTCACTACCTCATGGCTATTATCGCAGCTATCTCCTCACCACCTGCCAACCTCTTCTCCACTGGCTCCTTATCTATCACCGACCTGTAACTTCCCAACCGGACACGGCGTGCCCCTTGACGGTTGCTCTTGCTGGCAACTGCCGCTGTGCTGCACGCAAGGCGGCAGGACGCACCAGAAGACCGCCATGGTTCTGCCAGATCGAACCCCGAACCTTTTTTGGGGGTAGCACGCCTCAATGGGGGGAACCTCACGGGTACTTCCTCAGGGGGAGGGGCGGGTATCCTCGAAGGGTGGGGGGGTTTCCCCGGGGGGGAGATAGATCTTTAGAATCGGCGATCCATCGCCGATTGGTCTACGATCGGCGGTGGACAGCTGAGGCTGAGGCAGGCTGAGGCAGACGCTGAGGCAGGCTGAGGCAGACGCTGAGGCTGATGCAGGCTGAGGCTGAGGCAGGCTGAGGCTGAGGCTGAGGCTGAGGCTGAAGGCAGACTGAGGCTGAGGCTGAAGCAGGCTGAGGTTGAGGCTGAGGCAGGCTGAGGCAGGCTGAGGCTGAGAGTGAGGCAGGCTGATACTCAGGCAGGCTGAGGCTGAGGCTGTGATTGCGAATGCCGTTGCCACTGAAACCTCCCCTGAGTGAAAACGGCCTGGGACTGAAACCGACGGACCTGGACCCGCAATATATTTTTTTTGGAGGAGCAGGAAGTGGGAGCGGACAGCGATAATATACACGACTCATGTACGACCCATGTACGTCGCAAGGCCAAAGATTCGGGCAAAGAACAACGGGTACGGGCCTCGCCACACTGACGATGCTGCTTACTGTAGGCGCCGGCTGGGGCAACAAATCCTGCCCCCCCTGAACAGACAGACGCCAACACAAAGGACCTGGACCCGCAAGAATGACGGCCGCGACGCCCTCTCGCGAGCCGAAAACGGCCAATTCGCTAATCGACGTGTCAGGGTAGGAGGTCTGTCCACCCCCGATACGATAGGCCCCAGGTGGACAGAAACCATGCTCCCGGGCAGGCTGGGGAGCCCAGGCCCCGATCGGCGAGGACAAGGGAATACGTACGCGGCCGATGCTTCCCCCCGGTCCCCGCTCCCTGGTCGGCGCCCCCTGAAAGGCCAAGAGAAGCCCCCCAGACGCCCAGAGTCCTCGACTCTCGCCTCGGGTCGCCCCGAAAGGTTGCTAGAATCACCCCCCCCTTCTTCGACGCCCCTCTCCTCGTGCTCCTTGCTGTCCTCCTTCGTCGTCGTTGTGCTCCTCCTTCTCCTCCTTCTTCTACTCCTCCTTCTCGTTCTCCTCGTTCCTACTCGTGTTCCTCCACCCCCGGTCCCTTCTTTCTCGTGGCTGTGTTTCCGCTCTGCGCGCCGCTGGGCGGAGAGCGCCGCGGGGGTGCGGCCCAGGCCCGCGCGGCTCGGGCCCGCTGCCCCTCAGAGGGAATGCGGCGCAGGCTGCCGCGGCGGGAGGTGCCCTTTGGTGCCGGCGGGCATGAGCGCCGCCGCCTGGGAGGGGGTGCCGGCGGCACACGGACTCCGCTCCAGGGAAGGCCAGACGCTCCTCGCCTCGAGACGTCGGGAGCCGAGGATCGAAGCCTCTGGCCGCTCCTTGGCCCTCTTTTGGGGGGCCTCAGGAGGCCGGAGGCGTGTGCGCAGACCTCCCGGGGCCCCTGGAGGCCTCGGAGGGCCTCGAGGCGCCCGGAGACGGTTGAGGCCAAGCCCATCCTGGGCCCAGGAGCGGTGCGTCCGCGCTTGCAGCTCGGCTGGGGAGGTACGTAGTATTCACCGATCCTGTGCCAGAACTGGCCTGGCCAAGATCGGCGCCGCTGTACGGTTGAGCGGCGAAGAAGGAAACGGGGCCTTGCGCACGACGACTCGGCAGCCTCAGGCGGTGGCGCGACCACACGCGGACAGTTTACGCACAAATGTTGAGCGTTTTCTTATTCGGCGTTTCGACATTGGGCGGAAGGGGGGGGGAGGGGGAGGGGTCTGGCTCCAGACCTCTGCTTAGTGCGACTGCTTGCAGCAGTGCGTCCTATGGGGGAGAGGCTCCACCTGCTCGAAACAGGCGCCAAAAACAGACAAGATCTACTCCATGGAGGGGAGGGGGAGGGGGGGTGCGGGGGCCCGCGCCGATCGGCAAAACAACGAACAAAAAACGATCACACGTCGGCGCAGTCGACTAAAAGTAGTGTTTCGCATCAGGAGCAAAAAGAGGCCGCCCCTCGGGCGCTAGGGAGGGTCGAGCGCGGAACGTCAACACAATTTATGTTCATGCAATGGTTCTTCCTCGATTCACGTCACTCAGTTGACGTCGCCCGCCGCGAGAGGGGGAGAGAGGATGAGGGATGAGTATGAGAGGTCAGTGATAATGATGATGAGGAGGACGAGGAGAAGGAGGAGGAGGACGAGAAGGAGGAGGAGGAGGAGGAGGAGAAGGGATGATGATGATGATGATGATGATGATGATGATGATGATGATGATGATGATGATGATGATGATGATGATGATGATGATGATGATGATGATGATGTTGATGATGATGATGATGATGATGATGATGATGATGATGATGATGATGATGATGATGATGCTGATGCTGATGAGGATGAGGAGGAGAAGGAGGAGGAGGAGGAAGGAGAGGGGGGGAGAGGAGGAGGGTGGGAGGGTGAGAGGAGGGATGAGGGATGAGGGATGAGGAGGATGATGATGAGGACCAGTGAGCAGTGTAAACCCAAGACTCACCAACGATGTTGAAATAAACCTTCCCTCCAGGCTCCCTCCTCATATGCCCCTACAAAGATTATGATCCACTCAGGGAAGTGCACCGTTGGGAGACAACCGTTGGAAGATCCTGAAGCGTGCCAGAACACCATTCTCGGAACTTCAACGCCACGAATAAACTTGACTGTTGCGTCTCGACGATCCCGAATCGTGTCAGGACGCCTTCCTGAGACTTCCAACACCGCGAATCAACCTAACTGCTACGCCCCATGGGAACCAATGAAACTTCTGCAATTTCCTTGAGAAGAATGTGCGCGGCGCTGATGCGAGAAACAGATTCTGAAAAGGAGCCGCCCTCAATCCGAGAAGCTCTGTCTGGCAAGTTGTTTTTAAAACATAGAATGTCCGCAACCCGAAGGCGAGAACCAGATTTTGAAAACCACCCACCCTCAATCCGCGAAGCTCTTGCAAATGTTTAAGACGAGTGCGCGCGGCTCTAAAGCGAGAGCCACATGGTAAGAACCATCCGCCCTCAATCCGCGAAGCTCTTGCAAATGTTTCAAACGAGTGCGCGCGGCGCTAAGGCGAGAGTGACATGTTCAAAACCACCCGCACTCTGCCCGTGCAACGGCTGCAAGGATGAGAAGGAGAAGCAGGGAGTAGGAGGGACGAGGAAGAGCAGGGAATAACCACGCTTCTTGGCGCCGCCCCGCCGCCTGCACCTTGGACAACGCCGGGTGCTCCAGGCACCATGCCTGGGGCTGCGAGCGCGGCTGGGCCGCAAGCGGCGCCCGCTCGAGCGGGCGCCGCTCCGCCGCGGCCTCGGCGTCGGACTCGCTCGCGTCCGCGGGCGCCGGGGCCTTCGACGAGCCCGCGGGGCGTCGATCGAAGAGAGGGCGGCGGAGGAGGAGGAGGAGGAGGAGGAGGAGGAAAGGGGGAGGCAGCATCCGACGGATCCTTTTGCCATCAGGTCCCAAGAGGAAAGGAGGATAAAAGGAAGAGAAGGGGGCGGCGACGGCGGCGGTGAGGGCAAGGGAAGGTGGGCGGGGAGGGGAAAGGAGGGGGGAAAAGGAGGCCCATTCGTCCCCCCCCCCCCCTCCCTCGCTTCCCCCCGTCCGGGAGGGAGGCAGAGGAGGCGGAAGCAGAGGACGATGAGGGTGAAGATGAGGATTGGGATGAGCATAAGGAGGGGGTCAGGGAGGAGGAGGAGGAGGAAGAGGTAGAGGAAGATGATGAGGAGGAGGTATAGGGTGCTCCCCACCGTCATTCTCAACAGAACTCTGAGCTACTGTCATCCTCATGTGGTCTGACCCTGCAGACAGCACAACACAACTGAAGTCGCGCCAGCGTATGAGACACTCGCTCGCCTTCACACAAATCAGTGCCGTCTTTAGTGGCACCAGAAATCGCTGACGGGTCTCTGCCGCTAGTCACGGTCGGGGTCAGGTTTTACGATAAGGGGTTCGCGTGAATGGTTTGCCTGAGGACACGATCGAAAGCAGCGTCTTGGAGCACATCTGCCTTATAATTGCACAACGGCTTGGGGTAGGCGGCGACGCGAGCCTTTCTATGTACACCGAAGCCGTCTCGCCCCTGGTGGGTCGTGTGCCTACAGTTAGATAACTAACAGATGCAATCGTCTGATTTGCAACGCTTGCTCAGATCGTTGGCTCGAGGCAAAGAACAGCGAAACCTGGTCGGCTTGCATCAAGCCGTCCCCCGACCGCAGTAATTAGCTATAACATCCTGAACCCCTGACCATCGAGCACAGTGATGGGCGGCAACCATCTTCCACGTGTAGGATGACCGGAGGCTCTCCCGCAAACGGGGCACCAGATTTGCCTACGAGCTCTCAAAAACTTCATGGATACATGAAGAAGCTCGTTTCCCTCGTCTACTATCGTCTACTGTGGCTTGCAAGTGGGAAGGAAGCGAAGGGGAGGCCACGGGGGAGCAGGGGCGATCGCACTGCATTGTGGCCTCCGCAGGCAGTTGGAAAGGATTGGCATGGAACGCCCGCAAAGAGCCCAAGACAGTCGTCAGACTTCACTACAAAGTTGACCAGCCTGGATGGCACAGCAGGCCTAAGGAGATCCCCTTGAGGCCCCGGGAGCACATCCGAAGAGCACGCGCTGAAACTTCGGCATCGTGCTCGGACCCAGGTAATATTTCCGTGGGGAAGAAATTGCGACGCTTGGAGCGGGGATCGGTCAGCAGCTGCATTCGTCGAAAGCGGCGGCTAGCAGCTGAGACAGCTCGGCCTCGGCTCGGAGGCAGTAGGCCCAGGGCGCGGGCCGCCTCGCCCATCCCGGTCCACGCGATCTGGATCAAGCCTCTCTTGTCGCGCCGCCGGACCGAGTTGGGCACGCGCCAGCGGCCGCGTCGCTGGACCTCCTGCAACGAGACTCCCTCATGTACCCGTCGATCGAGGCGCCGCTGCGCCGCGCCGCGTAGAGCACGGGCCGCATTTTTTCGAGGTTGCGGGAAACGGTCGAGCCGTCGAACGTCTGCTTCGCCTCCGCCACGCTGAAGCCCCAGAGCGGGCTGCCAGGAGCTCCTGGGGCTTACTGCGCCGCCAAGGATGCCAGCCAGCGTCTTGTCGCGGCAACGGTCTCGTCCATCTCGCCGGTCATACTGGGCCTCTCGAGGTCGTCGGGATTGATGTGGGCCGTCGCCTTGGGCAGACTAGCCCGCGGCGAAAAGACCTGGCCCTTTGACAGGCGGTGGCCCTCTCCATGCCGCAGGCGCGCGTCCGCCATCAGGAGCGAGTAGGTGGCCAGCTCGCGAGGGCCGCTGGCATGCTACATCCTTCGGGCCATGCCCATGCAGGCCGCCCAGGGCGACGGGCGCCGCGTCCGCGACGGGCGTAGCATGCGCCAGCCCCGCAGCGCGGGGCGGGCGCGCGGCAGAAACGGCCGGCCCTTGCTCCGGCAGTCGGGAACGCGCATCGCGATGCCACTCAGCAGCTCGCCCCCCCCCCGTCGATGGGGCCATGCCCTCGAGACACAGCCCGTCGCAGCGCCGCGCGAGGGCCGCGCTGAGGGAGCCGAGCTGGCTGCGCGTAAGGACCTGCTCCATCGGCCTGGTGCGCTGCCGCCTGTGAAGGGGCCCCAGGGCACACAAATAAATGCACACAAACAAAACATATTTTCCCATATTTTCAGGGTTTCTGTCTTCCCCCCACTTCCCATATTTTCCCATATTTTCTTGGGAATCGAGGGTTAATTGTGTCTGTGTGTTTTTTCCTCTCCTGAGACTCTGCGATGGAGAGCAGGCGCGTCGTGTCCCGCGCCGCTTCCTCAGCAGCCGGGCGGCGGCGGCCCGACCGCGGCATCTCGCGGGCGGCCCCGCTGCCACTCGGCGGCGGCGCCGCGGCGGACAAGTGCGGCAACGCGCCGCGGCGCCTCAGCGGTGCCGCGCTCTGGCCTTCCGGCCTGCCCGAGGTCGCCTCCTCCAGCTGCGGAGCCGCGCCGGCCGCGTCGCCCCGCCGCGCGCCCGCGCGGCCGTTGCGCTCTGTGGCGGGCGCCGAGGACATCTGCTGGCTGGCCTCGCCCGCGGCGCCGCCGCCCTGAGGGGTCGGCTGGCACGCGCGGGGGGCCAAACCTGGCGGGTGCGCGACGGGGCGGGCGCCGCCGGCCCCAGGCGCGACGGCCGTTTGGCGCCAGGCGGCTCAACGAGCAGCGCGTCCGTCGGCAACCCCGCGGGCACGGCTGTCGCGGTCGGCGGCGCCAGCTCGCTGGGCACCCGCCGCCGGTGCACGCGGGCGGCTGACGCGAACGCGAGGGCCGCCCCTCGTCGAAGGAAATGGAGCATATATACGTGTACATATAGGTATATGTATATGTGTATAGATGTATATATGTATATGTGTATGTATATGTGTATATATGGGTGCACGGGCATATCGGTGCCCCTGCTTTCGCTTGTCGTACAAGAAGATTATGGCATCGATTCTTCTCTTCTCCACTCCTCTTCCTCCTCCCCTTCCTTTCCGAAAGCGCACGGACGCCTGCCAAAAATCAGCGACGTTGCAAAAAAAACGGAACCATTTGAAAAACAGAAAAACAATCAACAAAACAAACTACAAAACAAACTATTGATTTCTGGAGAACCTTGGCCAGCCCCCCTCCCCAGAAGTTTTCCAGAAATCATAACTTTGTTGTTTGTTTGTTTTTCCCGACCTAGGCTCTGCCTAGAAGGGTTATGAAGGGTTCTTACTCTCTAGCTTAAAGGGGCCGGGCAATGGAAACCGCCCCGGGCGGTTCCCCCAGTCCCCGCCCCGCGGCTCCCCCAGTCCCCTGGGAGCTTTAGCTTTAGCTTTAGATTAGCTTTAGCTTAGCTTTAGCTTAGCTTTAACTTAGCTTTAGCTTAGCTTTAGCTTAGCTTTAGCTTAGCTTTAGCTTAGCTTTAGTTTAGCTTTGGCTTAGCTCTAGCTTAGCTTTAGCTAGCTTTAGCTTAGCTTTAGTTTAGCGTTGGCTTAGCTTTAGCTTAGCTTCAGCTTAGCGTTAGCTTAGCGTTAGCTTAGCTTTAGCTTAGCTTCAGCTCAGCTTCAGCTTCAGCTTTAGCTTTATCTTTAGCTTTAGCTTAGCTTTAGCTTAGCTGCAGCTCAGCTGTAGCTCAGCTTTAGCTCAGCTTTAGCTTAGCTTTAGCTTTAGCATTAGCTTTAGCTTAGCTTTAGTTTAGATTTAGCTTAGCTTTAGCTTAGCTTTAGCTTAGCTTTAGCTTAGCTGTAGCTTAGCTGTAGCTTAGCTGTAGCTTAGCTTTAGCTTAGCTGTACTGTTACTACTAATGCTGCTTTCCTAGGGGCTCCAACTCCTAGGTAGGGTCGCACTGGGATGATTTTCTATGGCTTTCGCGTTTTCGCAGATATTGAAAGCAATCGAGGAGAAGGAAAGGAGGAGGAGGACGACGACGAGCGAACGATCAATGGAGGTTTTGTGATTTTTGTGGTTTGGGGGTGCTGGGGGGGGGGGCGACCATCCCCCCGCCAAACGACGGACTGGGAGGGCATCCTCCTCATCATCGTTCTCGTCCTCCTCCTGCTCTTTTCCTTCCTCTTGTCATTCAGACAGTCACAGTTCAGTCGATTGCAGTCCAATCGATTGCAGTCCAACCGATTGCTATCCAATCGCTTGCAAACCAATCGATCGCAAGCAAATGGATTGAAATCCAATCGATTGCAATCAAATCGACTGCACTCCAATCGCTCGCGAACCAATCGATTGAAAGCCAATCGATTGAAAGTCCCCTCCACGTCGCCCCTCCCTTCCTCCTCATCCCTCCTTGCTCTCCCGTCTGATCTTTTCTGCTTCATCCTCCTCATCCCCCTCTCTTGTCCTCTATCTTGGAGCCCGCTCGCAGGAGGAGTAGGAGTAGGAGGAGACGGAGGGGGAGGAGGGGGAGGAATGGGGAGGGGGAGGGGGGGATGCTGATGAGGAGGACGAGGCCTCTCCCCTACCTCCTCCCCCAATCGGAATACAACAGGAACACAATCTGATTACAGTATGAACGCAAGAAGAATTTCTTCTCCCCTCCCTTCCTCCTCTTGGAACAGGAATACAATTAAACGCAATGGGGATATAGTAAGCGCGCAAAGACATTCCTTTTTCCCCTCACCTCCTTCTTTTTCCAACCGGAATACAAGAAACATATAGTTTGAACACACTGCGAAAATCAGTGAGGATCCCTTCCCCTCTCCCTTCCTCCTCATCCAATAAGAAAATCAGCATAATAAACCACAGACGCACTATAGGTAGAAGAACCATACACTATGAATGTCGCCTCCGCTCGCTTCCTTCTCCTTTCGATCGGAAATCAGTAGGGATAGAATGTGAAAACAATCAGAATGCAACGCGAATTCCTCCCCCTCCCTTCCTCCTTCTCCAGTAGGGGCACAACAGAAACGCCATATGAATGAACAGCATTCAATAAAGCATCCTCGTCCCTTCCCTTCATCCTCCGCCAATCGGAACCCAAATAGGAATACAATGCGAATGCCATAACAATGCAATACGACGTGTTTCCCTCCTCCCTTCCTCCTCATGAAATAGTAATGCATTCGGGTCGCAAGACGAACGCACGAATCATCAACGAATACATCATGATCCCCCCCTCCGTTTGTAAGACGATATGATCACAGTATGAATGCAATACGGATGCAACAAGATGTCCGCCCCCCTTCCCTCCTTCTCCAGTACGCACACACTTGATATGTAATGAGACCACGACCTTCTTACAATTCAGAGTATAGTTTCCCATCCCTTCCTTCTCGTCCAACAGGAATACAATATAAATAAATATAGTGCGCAATAAAGTGCGCGATATAAATACAACGAACATAGAATAATGATTCCTCCCCCCCCCCCCCCAATCCCTCCCCCCGCAATGCAAATACAGTCAGTGCGAATACAATAATAATATGCAATCTGGATCCCTCCCCCCATCCTTCCTCATCCTCCAACAGGGAGGAGGGAGGGATGACGAGGACGAGGACAGGAGACTTCTGCCTCCACAAATGGAATCAATATGTGGAGGCTCCTCCACCAAAGGAATCAACATGTGGAGGCTCCTCCACAAATGGAATCAATGTCGCGGCCCCCTCTAAATGAGGAGTCAATATGTGGAGGCTCCTCCACACATGGAATCAACATGTGGCGGCCCCCTCCACAAAAGGAATCAATGAGTGGAGGCTTTTCGACAAATGCAACCAACCTGAGGAGGCGCGTGCACGTTTTGCATTGATCGGCTGCATGCGCAAGACACAGACATACAGATGCGAGGATGTGCCACGTTCGAAGTGGGGCAGTTCACATGATGAGGTTCTCAAGAAAAGCAGGGGCACCGCTATGCCCGCGCGCCCTATATATATAGATATACATACATACATACATACATACATACATACATACAAACATACATACATACATACATAAGTACACACATACATACATATATGCATACATATATGCACACCTACCTACCTACCTACCTACCTACCTACCTATCTACCTACCTACCTACCTACCTACCTACCTACATGCATGCATGCATGCATGCATACATACATGTATATGTCAAGGCAACGGCCCTCTGATACTGCCAACGTGAGCGCTAAGACAACATGCCTCTTTCCCCAGGAGTCCGCTTCCGAGAGAATCAGTTTCGCGGCGTATGATTCACCCCGGCACTTCCTTTCGACGCATGTGCTCTCTGCCAAAAACGGCGCATGTTGCAGGGCCGCGTGGCGCAGCGGAGATCGTGCGCAGGCACTTCGGGGAGCTTTGGTTCTCTTGCCCCAAAGGCGACGGGTCCGACGTGTCACATTCAAGCTGCGCGGCTCAGCCGCTCGGGCCGCGCGATCGCGTGGCCGCCAGCGCCCTTCCTCCTCGCTCGTGCGAAGGAAACGCCAGCGCTCGGGCCAACTGCCGACGAGCCGCGCGCTGTCCAACCCCCAGCGACCGACCGCCCACGCGCGGCCGCTGTCGCGGGAGTCGGCCACGACCACTTGGCGGGACCAGTCGGCGCCGAGGTCGCTGGAGAGGGTGGTCAGCAGCCCGCGGAAGATCCCGATCGAGCTCCCGACGCGCTGGGGCCCAGAGGGGCCCGGCGCGCTGCCGCCCCTTCTGGGCGAACGGATACGCGGCGATGAAGCAGCTCAAGCTCTCGCGACGGCACAGCGCGGTGGTGGTGCAGTGGCCGAGGATGTGCTCCGCGTCGCGGCTGGCGACGCAAGGCCGCCGCTGCGCCAGGTTTCGGGAGGGGGAAGGCGGCCAGGAGAGGGGGAGGGGGAGGACTGCGTCTTCGGGGGTACTCAAGGCGGGCGTGGAGGACGCGGAAGGAGGGGGCGGTGGGGGGGGGCTTAGCAGGGGGAGGGGGCGGCGCTGCGAGAGAAGGGTGTGTGTGTGTGTGTGGCTGTGCCTGTGCGTGTGGGTGTGTGGTGTGCGTGTGCGGTGTGGGTGTGGGTGTGGGTGCGGGTGTGGGTATGCGTGTTCGTGATTGTCTTTGTGGGTTGTGTTTGTGTTTGTGTTTGTGATTGTCTTGGTGTTCGTGTTTGTGAGTGTGTTTGTGTTCGTGTTCGTGTTCGTGTTCGCGCTCGTGTTCGTGTTTGTGTTTGTGTTTCTGCTTGTGCTTGTGCTTGTGTTAATGTGTGCGAGCGGCGCCCTCCCTGTCAGCCCATGCTAATCCCTCCGCCTGACCGCCTCCGCGGCCTCGCAAGGCCCTGCAGATGTACAGGGGCGCAGCTGCGCTCGGCGGTGGCGAGCCTGACCCAGCAGTATTGGACACAGTGGAGAAGGCCGTCCTGAATGGCAAGATCACGAAGCTCAGCAGAGTCCTCTGCTAAAAAGTGAAGAAAATATCTGATCCCGGTCCGCTCCGCGACGCGGCGCAGAGCGAGGATCTCCATTTCCGCGAGGGTACTGGTATGAAACGTGAGATGGAGCTGTTTCACCCCGTGCTGCTGGCCAGGGCGATGCAGGCCTGGAAACCAACAACGCAAGTGGACATGGCCCGCTTGCCGCTGGCCGAGGGCCGCCG